ACCCTTGTCCCACTTGATGGCACAATCTCTCAGTTTGCTCAAGCAGGTAATCCTCGAGTAGCAGAACTGTCTGATTTTACTTTAACGTACTCTAGAGTTAGGCTATCCCATCCCTCTGTTCACAAAAAAAGTAAAAGAAAGAAGAAAGTTACTCTAACGCCTGGGGCCATGCATTTTCTCCATTGAACGTTGCATTCTCTCCTAACATTTCTTCAAGGAATGCATTAAAAGTCCTTGATAGATGAACTGCTGTATGTTAATTATAGAAAATCATTGAATTAAAAAGGTTTCAGCCAACAATTGTTTCCCATCGTAGTTTGCCTTTCATGTTGAAAGAATTAGAATTCATTCATACTAATGCATTATACAGTTTCCTGTAACACATTGGACCTCTTGACAATGTTATCTAGATTTAGTTGCTGTTTTTTATTTTTCTTTTTTCTTTTTTGGTCTGAACTGCGTACATTTTTTAATGCGAGTTCATAGCTGTAGTTAATGAGTTCTTCTGGTTTGTTGCTGGTCAGAATCAACATCTTTCGCTTCTTCAAGTTTAAATCATGATAACTTGCACGCGGATTACTTTGCAGCTAAGAATGTTGGGTTGTCTGCATATTACAATTTTTGAGATGTTGGTTTCTTCTTGGGTACTGTTTTCAAAATTCAAATTTACAGATAAGATGGTGGAGTATCCTTTGCATTACAGGGAGAAAGGGAGCGCAGCTCGTGATTTTGGTAAGGACTACTAAATCCATGGATGCAGCCCGCCAGACCTTTCCCGGTTTTTCATTTCTTTTAATGCACACCCCCACCAGCCTGAGGGTTTGTTTCAAATCAGAGCATAGGATGTTTCCTTTGGTTTGCCCTCCCTTTTCCTTCCTTCTATTTGGCTAGCTGGTGAGTAGAAGGGATAATTGCTATTATAATATGATGAGTGAACACACGCTTCTCCTTCGAAGATTTTGAAGAGTGGTGAAAATCGGTGTATTAGAATAAGGAGTCAGTGGCAACTTGAGTCAGTTATTATTATTATTATTATTATTTAATCTGGTGTATGTTTGAGCTGTAGGGTTTGTTACTATTCTGCTACCTCAGTAGGTTCTAGATGTCAGCTCCACTTTGGAATGCAGCAACCTCTTTGTACCTCTAAGTATTGCCATATCTACTAATAAAATCGCTATGGTCGAATGGATGTCTGTTTCAATATCTTTAGTCCTTTAAATATTGGGGCAATAGCCTGCTCTATGTCTAACCGTGCTTAAAGTGATTCATTCTTCTTACTTCTATAAGCATCAGGGCATAATTTAAGTTTTTACTTCTAGTGCCTATGTGTAGTAATTTTTTGTTGTTGTGAGTTAAAAATTCATCTCTATGTTGAGATTGCAAGTATCTCTTAACCATACAAATGAGAGTGTCACACAGGGGGCAAGTGGACGAATAATTGTTCAACCATTCTGAGAGGGTAGTGAGGCCTGTAGATTTTCAAGCAATCTAAGCAGTTATATCTCAAATTCTAGAAAGTGATAACTGTTAGTGTTTGTTGGTTTTTCAAAGATGTAGATGGTCAGGCAAGCAGGAAGTGTTATTGCAGCGATTGCAGCGATAAGCACGAGAAAAGCGAAAGGATAGGTATTCACACAACTTAGCTATTATTTGTAATTGACCTAAATTTGTCCTGAGCTCCCAGATTTAACTATTATTGATGCTCTGCCTGATTATTCTCTCTTTTTGCTCATTCTTCTCTAGGGGAAGATTAAAGAGCAAGAGATTTACAGGAGTAACTTCTTTCTAACATGGAAATGTATTTCAATCGTCAAGTGAAGGCCATGCCTCAAATGGGAATTCAAGCCGCAGTAGCACAAGCTCTCCACCACAGCCGGCTGCCTCAAGCTTCTGGTGGCTCAGCTGACAACCAGCCAAAGATTGGCCTTCCTGTTGATCTCAATCACAAAGGTAAGCTACAAATCTTTTATTTAAATATTAAATGATAAAAAAGTTCTTACTTCTCAACTAAAGCGTAATTATAAACCTCCTGGTAATGTCAGTTAGAGTAGTATGAATATCATAAAGAGATCGTGCTGCTTGCAGTATAATGCTTGTGGGAAAAAAAGTATATACTTGAAATGTAAACCAACTTACCAGCTGTGAGGTGAGGGTATCTTTGCACTTCTTGTAAGATGCTTGACTCATAGCCAGGCATATTAACATTTGAAAGAAGCGGTTAATAATTTTAAAAAAAAAAGAAGAAGAGAAAGAAGTTGTTAATGATAGCTTTATATGGCTAGTGATTTTCTTGGTAATTGAATCCCAAACTAAGTAAGGAGCTGTTTGGTGCACTATTATCTCCCATTTCTTGGTATCTTGGAAACATAGTATAAAATGCCCAAGGATATGATAATGTGGCATTTAAGACTCTTATGTTTGTTGTGACAGTTGGAAGGTGTAATAAATTGGATACAATGTGTATTTTCGTAAAATAGCTTACAAAATTATGATTACAACTTGTCTGTGCATGGATATATGATTTCTCAGTGGATTTGCAGATTTTCAAGAATGCTAAAACGTAGGGACTCTTCAGATAGATGAAGAACTGGAAGTGTTGAGATGACTTGAAAGAGCAGTTTAACTCTCTCACCGTGTAGCCGTTAGAGGCGTAATGCAAGAATTTTGAGCTGATTGCTCATCAGTTAGAGGCAGTGAAAATGTTAGGATGTTTTTAACTGCAGGGTGAATTTGTGTTTGTTTTAGGATGGTTAAGAGTCCTGCACTCTCACCTAATCAATTTTGTAACATGAGGCATCTAATTTAATCCTTCCCCACTATGATATATGTAAAGCATAGTTATTCTTCTTCCTGAAACTTTCTTAGTTATTCTTCTTCCTGAAACTTTCTTTTCCCTCATCTCTTATTTTCTTTTTTATTAGGTTGTAGTAGTAGTACTAGTATGCTTGCCCAGTGCTTGTGTGGAAGTCAGAAACTCTAACTCCATCAATTAGTATCTACATATTCTGTAGGAATGTTGTGTGAGCTTTGATGTAATTGTTGTTTCATTTGTGACCAGAATGGAATGTGGGAAAGAGAGAGAGAGAGAGAGAGAGAGAGAGAGAGAAGGTGAATGCCAATCATTATTGAATATTAAAAAGTGTTATTATATACCGGAAAAAGAGATAGTATGTCATCCAATCTCTAGTGAGATTGATCCTTGGTTTTCTTTTTCGTTGGTCTTTTAATAATTATAATTGAATGAATGTGCTTATTCATTACAGGATGAGTTTCCTTTTACTAATTGAATGTTGGTGCTCTGCATTGATTGATAAAATCAATATCATCAATCAATCGTAAAATCTAAAAAATCAAGAATTTTTTTTTGGGGTTTTATTTCTGTGCAGAAGTACGGGTTCTCTTGTTTAGATTTGTTAATCACGAAGTAGTATATCTCATGGGTTGGGTTAACTTTTACGGGACGAGAAGCTTGAATTTTCAAAGCGTATGACGATAAAGTTAACTGGACAGTCAATAGTAGATAAAACATACTATTTGTGCTATGTGAATATGGGAAAAAATATCTTTGTTTTTTATTTAAAGTTGCCATCAGATGTATTAATGACTTTTTGCAAAGTAAAACTCAAGTTTCTTTTTATAATACAAATGAACCATGTTTGCTTCAATTGCTTGATATATAACTTAATTTAACTTTCACTTTTATGTCCAAAATATCCCACATCAAGATTTAAACAAAATATTAATGCTCATAATACTTAAATTAAGATCCTTTTTTCATAGAATGCTCATTGAATTAAATTTCATCAAAACTTAATTTTTCAGTATAATTTTTAAGTTTTGATAATAGAATAAATGTTTAAAAATTGGGTTGAATGTAGCCTCTATATTAAATAAATACATAAACCATGGAAATTTTTTAATAGATAATTGATTCAAGATGTAATTACGGAAGGAAAGCAATAAAAGTCACATGCTTGCAATTTATCAGTTTCATTCGCCTGAATGTTGACAAAGTTAAATATGTCATGAGTTTGCCTTCTGTTATCTGCAATTATTATTATTTGGACTTTGTTTCCATTAATAATATGTTTTTCTGGTTAAATGAAAAGAAAATTACTTCATTAGTCATTGAGTTGCCATGTCACAGTAAGTAGTGAAAGTTGATTATAAACATAACGATTCAAATTTGCAATAAACTAATCCTTTTTATCAAAAGATACAATGCATGGATAAATAATAATATTTTCCCCTTACCCAAAAACACGCTATTAATAATAGATTATTAATTCAAATGAACCATGTATGTCGATATTGATAGAAATAAATAAGCATATTTTTTCCTGTGCATCTTATAAAATTGAGGTAAATCGCTTTCATAAATTATTACTAATATAGATTACAATACCAGTGAAACCAGTCCTCGTGGTGTAGCCAAAAAGTCTTGACCTCGAGGTCTTTCTTCGATGATTATAAATGTCATATTTTTATATTCATAACAACATCTAATTGAGAAAAAAAATTTATTTGATTACTTGTCTCAGAATAAAAAACTATACCTTTATATAAAATTTTCAAGCCTAACCCTACATAAAGTATTAACCTTACGCCATCAAATGTTGGTAAGAGTTAAATGTTAATTATTGAATGGAAATAATAATTACGGAAGATGAAGTGAATGTTGAATGTTATTTTGCAAACTGAATAAGATGGTGACAAAAAGGAAAAAAAAAGGTTTTTAGACCCAGCCTAAAAGCTATGTAAAATAAATGTTAGGCTCAGCTAACCCCAAAGTCTCTTCTTTATTTTATTTATTTATTTATTTTTTTAACTTTTTTTCTCTAAAAAGTTTCTTACTTATTCTCAGTTTCAAAGAGTCAAATCCTAATCACTAAAGTGTTGAGTTATTGGAAAACTAATCTAACAAAAATGGCACATGAAATCTTGAGTATTTTTATCACTACAATAGCTGACTAATGAATTGACTTTAATATTGGGTCACATGTGCTTACCAAGCATTGTCTTCCCTTCACCTGGATAATGTGCAAGCTCTAATTTTACTCATTATTACGAGTACTTTTATTCATGGTAAGTTTACTTATATTTTATGATCTATCTTATATATATATATTTGGATGAAAACATGAAAATGAAACAATATGTTTATTATTTATTGGGGAGCAAGATGAAGATATTGATGGTGTCCAATTAGCACAACACTTAAGCTCTCTTCAGCTTGAGATTCAAGTTCAAATAATTTGTTTACCTATGATGATGATAATTAGATATTTAGTTATTTTTTAGAACATATATTAAAACATTTGTGTGATCTTGTAATGGACTTTGATGAGCATTATATAATTAAGATGGATTTTGCAAAAAATTTAAAAAAGGGCTTTAAGGCTGACATGAGCTTTGATAATTAGGGTCAGTTTTGAAAAAGAATGTATTTTAAAAAGAACAAGGCTTTAAGCTCAAGTTTGAATGGGTTAAGCTCATAAGGACCGATCAATTTATTTCTCACAATTACTTAGTGATAGCTATAATATCATCACTAAAGCAAGCATAAAAGGACAGGGGAAAACCTTCATTCATAGTTTGATGGTGTATAAGTTTAAATGTCTTGTTTAGTTGTTAATTTGGATTTCTTATTATCATATTTGTTCAGTCTTTAGAACATGTATTCGCTAATCACTAATATAATATTGAATCACAATTTTTAATCCTTCACTGATAATTGCTCATGTTAGATTCTCACCAATTTAGTTCTATTTTTATTAGTTTGGTACTTACCTAGGTTGACTATTCTATAGGAGTGGTTACTAGCAGACAAATTTGTGATTTCTTAATTTTATAAAGTTGATTAATTTGACAAGATATACCTATTATTTTCTCAACTAATTCTCTAGTATTATACATTGTTGACTTGTGAAACGCTTTCTAATTTCTGTTGTTTTTTCTCCAATTTAAATAAATGTAGTAATGTGAAAAAATCTAGTTAACATATAATTTAAAATGAAATGAATCAACCAAATCCTAATCTAGTTCCGTGTGAATTAATAACGCTCAAATTGGTATATTATTTGACTACAACACATAATTTCAACATAGATTAAATATAAAGTTAAGGTTACAAGTATTAAAAGAATTTAAACTTTTATTTTTAATACATTATGAGATTTGAACCGTTGACTTCTAATCACATTTAATTTCTTCCTTTTACCTCATATTTGAGCTCTTTTAATTTGTTATCACTCATAAATGCAAACATGAATTTAGCTAAAGGAATGCTTCCCGTAGTTATATTCTTCAACGTTTAAGAAAATGAATGTATGCATTTAATTCAAGGCAAGAAAAAATAGTTAATAAATAATTCATAAAAATGAGATATTTTTTGATCTCACGTAAAGATGATAATTTGGATTTGAAAAATAGCCTCAGTACACTTACTCAATGAGTTTCTTAATTTTATCCAATGAATTTTCTCAATACTTAAAAGTTATAAAGATATATTTTCCTCCAAAAATTTAAAATAATTATGACAATTAGAATACTTCTTACTCATATTATCCTCTCCAAAAATTTAAAATTGGATACTTTTTAAATATTATATAAAAAAATATTTGACAACTGTTCGATTAAATCAAACCATTGTTATAATTCCATATGAGATATAATTGAAAATTACCCCCTATTTCCATGTCTATCCTCATTAATAAGATAACCTAATGATAAATAAATATAAAAATTTTATTAATTTCAAATATTTATTAAGAATATTTTTAGAAAAATTTTATAATTACTCTTTGAAAACACTAAATGGCTTATAATTTTTTAATATGATATCTCTAAAAAATACATTGTAATTTTTACTCAAGTATTAAATTAGATATCCTTTGTTAAAAAATATAAAAATTTTTAATCAAATATTACTTTTAATAAAGTATTCACTTATTTTTAAATTAATCATATTTTTTTATATTTATCTCTAGTTAATAAGTATTTCTTCCTAAAAAATATAAAATTATCTATTTTATATGGCACTTTTTTTAAAAAATAATGATTATATTTTAAAAGATTAAAAAATAATTTTTTTAATATCTAATCTCTTAAAAAATGTTTTATATTTTTAAATAAAAAAGTATATATTTTTCGTTCAAAAAAAAACAATATTAGACACATGATACATGCAAGATAACAATAATACTAAATATATTTGTTTTTATTTTAGGAGAAAAATGCTTGCCTTTTTGTCGCCATATTGGAGAATTCAGCCTATAAATATGTGATCATCGGGATTTGGCTCCATGAAGGTTGAATGGTCCTAAGGCACAGTGTGTCCCGCCATTGAAGCCCGAGTTTAGCTTCACCTACAGCTTCTTCCTCCTTCTCTTGCTCTTTCAACCTACCTCAATGACTGCCTTCTCGCTCGCTTCCTTCACTTTACCATCGCCATGCCTTCTTCTTCGTTCTCGTTCCTCTGTTCCATTCACTCGCAACCATTTGCAGGTACTTCATTTTCATCCTCTAATTTCGCTTCAATTCTTACATTTCCGTATGCTGAACCCTAATTTCATCCATCTTATGGTGTCCAACGTTGATTTGGGCCCTGCTTATGAGCAGAGCTCCTATAAGGCACCAATGGGTTAATCTTGTATTTTTCCGTTTTATGCTTAACAATTTGGCTTTTTGATAGCTTTTCCTGATACTGCTAACTGTTTTCTCTCTGAAATTTAGGCTTCAGTGATGCGAAATTGGAAAGTTGGAGCGTTTTCTTTCAATGGCAGTGAGAGGTAATCTTGCAGTTTGCAGGCTACGTTGGCTAACTGGTCCCAACTTTTTGATGCGTTCGTTTGTTTTTGTGGGGTTGATTTGAATTTTAGTTCGTTTTCTTGCTTGATTCTCATATCAATATTAACTTTGGATCACAAAACAGGAAAAAATTGGTGTCTGCAGTCGATCAAGATGGTCTGACAGATATTCTGAGAACTGCAAATCCTTACAAAGTAAGAACAGTGGTTATTTCAATATTTTTCACCCTTAATTTCATGGTTCTTGGCCTTATGTTAAATTAGATTTGGCGGTAGACTAGATGGTTTGTTTAACAATTCCATTTTGGATTTTCTCAATGCAGGAGACGTAAGTTTTAAATTTATAATTTTATGTACAAAACGAGAAACAGTTCGCTCATTCACTATGAAATGCAATTTGAATGACTGGTCTAGAGGTTCTATGATCTACATTCAAGTTTTGTGGAAAAGGAATGAGGAAAACGATTGCAGGATTAAATCCGACAAGAACTGTTCAGTACTGTAAATTTAATCGTATGCAGTTTCCTGATATGTATGCTTGATTGAATCTAGTGCTGTATAAATATAATCCTTTGTGAAGGAAAAAGTGCACCAGTGGGTTATTTATAGTTTTGAAGTTTTAATTTCTTATAAATGAACTTGGACCATTCATTCCTATCACTCAAGATATAACTTTCTGGTGGGCTGATTAAATTGTACTTGAATGTATATGCTGTTTTCTATGTCCTGTCAAATTACTAAACTCTTCCTCTCTTCATTAGGAAATATGTCAAAGATAGGGCAGCTGTATGTGAAGATTTGCTTGAAGAAGTCAATGCACAAATACAACATCTTAATCTGTTTTTACTGATTCTCACGCGATCCACAGCTTATTTCAATGCATTATATACAACTAGTGACTGAATATTACTGTCCGATATGCGTTTTACACTTATACTGTTGAATAGTGTAATTACTGCATGCCAAAAAGACACAAGTGCATGAAATATTGGGAAATTTGAAATTCCAAACTGGCTTCAATTGGGCATTCAACAGCTTTAGATGAAGTGAGAGCTTTTAAAGAAAGTGGGTAGGCTTCTTAGGCATCTTTTTCTCTTCTTCAATTGTTATTGTTTTCCTAAGCAGAGCTTTTACTCTAAAGAGTTTCCAGTTCAAGTATCATATCTCTTGCAATGCTGTTTAAATGCTGCTATTTGTGGTTTCCTGATTATTTTACGTATGAAGTATACATTTTTCCCTTTTGGAGGCTCATCTACATTACATAATATGCATTTAATACCAAATAATATTAATATATCTTGCATGTAATGTGCAGGTTAAGGAAGATGAAGATAAGGCAGAGCTTGAAGCTCTGTTGCAAAACGGTAGTTGTGTAAAAGAAGGTAAATATTTTTTTTCTTTTCAGTGGAGTTAATATATATCCTATATAGTTTATGTAAAGCATATTAGAGGTTAAAGAGTTTTCCTGTACACTTTTTTGAATTTCTCTCAGTTATGTCATTAATCTCAAAATTGTTACATGGTTGAAAAATTGTAGCATGGTCTCAATTTGCCCAGAGAGTCTCTGGTGAATGGGATGGATTTGGAGCAGACTTCTCTAATGAAGGGAAGGCTATGGAATTACCAGATTTGGTAGTCCCTGAAGCATTTCGGGAGTGGGAGGTTAAGTTATTTGACTGGCAAACTCAATGTCCCACTCTTGCTGAATCAGAGGAGAACATTCTTATGTACAAGAACATTCTGTTGGTTCCTACTGTTGGTTGTGAGGCCGATGCAGCCACAAGATACAAGGTGGATCAAAGGCAAGTGGGAGGAGTAAATGGTGGGGTTACTGCCTTTGCTTATCAATCCAGTGGATCTTATGTTGCTGTCTGGCAGAAAGAGGATGAACTTTTGGAGCTGGAATACTGCTTGATCAATCCTCAAGACTGTGAGTCACGTGTGAGGATCATTCAATTTGTCCGTGTTTTGGATCACACAAACATGGTGCTGCAGAGAATCAAAGTATTTCGTGAGCATTGGTATGGACCATTTAGGAATGGTGAACAACTAGGAGGTTGTGCCATCCGTGATTCTGCATTTGCTTCTACTGATCCCATGGCTGCTTCACAAGTCGCTGGTATTTGGCATGGGTCCAAATCTGTTGCCACAATTGGCACTTCAAATACTGTGAGTGCAAGGGTCTTCCCTTCTGCTTTTGTTCTTCAAAACCTGGATTTTCTGGTTTCATTTCTGGTACATCTCCATTTGTATCTAAAGTATTTTTAGACAAGCGCCTATAAACCTCCATTTTTAAAGACCAGTTCTTCCAAGGCTGAAAAGAAAGAGCATTTGATTCTAAAAGTTTAGTTGTTAGGTGAATCAGATCAAAAGCAAGAAGTTGTTAAGTAAAAAGTGATGAAGAGGTTTATTATAATCTTTAGCATGCTTATCTGACTCTTGTTGGAACTTCATTTCAATTAAGAAATTTTTGCAGCAACGAAACTCTAGACTATTTGGTCTTAGAGGATCTATGTCAAATCAAAGACCTCTTGACTCAAAAGCTCAAGCTGTTAAGGCCTATGACTTGCTATTATCTCTATCACTTTAAATGTCATTTCAAATATGACTCAAAAGCTTATCTCTTATTGTAATCTCCATCAATTTTCTTGTTATTTTAGGGGATCTTTCATGAACTTTCGGGTGACAACATTCAGAACTGTGTCAGAGATGGATGCGTTGAGATATTACTTCCTAAACAATTGTGGTGTTCATTTAAGCAAAACAAGGATGGTGAAGCTCTTAGTGAAGTGGGTTGGCTTCTAGATCATGGACAGGCAATCACATCAACCTGCCTATTTTCAAGCACTGCAAAGCCCAAGGCAAGCTACAAATATGTAGGTTCTTAAACATTTTAAGCATACGAATGACAGTTGAGGTGGTTCAACACTATTTTCTCTCAAGTGAAGTTTCGGATTCGAATCTAGTAAATAAAGGAAGTCATTATCGACTAAAGTTGGTATGGATGGTAGGAAATTTTACTATTTACATAAGTGGTTGAGGGTTTGAATATCATTTCTTGTGTACGTAACAACTTAGTTGAGAAAGCTCTATCTTTGCTCTCAGTATCTTGGGAGAGATAATCTCTGTTGTGCTCACCAAAATAGAAAGTTGTTGTTGGATAGCTTTATAGTTATATGGTTTGACCCAACTTGACTCATTAGTCTGAGGCTCTAATTGGATTTCCAAAAACTGATTTATATATCCAAAATAAAAAATATAAGTACTAGGTTAATCATGGAGCACTTGTATCCTGAGTTCAATTAAGATATAATCTAAATAAGCTGTTATTATGATGTATTATTTTCCATGTCATTCATTATGTTAATTTTAATAAACAAATAAACATTTCAACTTGTTTGTTTCTTCTAACCATTCTCTTTCTGTTCTTGCTGCAGGAAATATCCATAGCATTAGAAACAAAAGGTTTGAAAGATGTGTAGCAGTGGTGGCAATCCATTCAGTTTCAGAATTCAGATCCATACCTTATTTACAGTGAACATTAGTCTTGGTTCAGCACTAGACAAGCTCAACCACATAAATGTTACCTTGAATTTCACTTAACTCTCACATAATGTATACAAGGTTCATTCACCTTATCCATCTATATAATATGTTCCCCATCACTTCTGAACTCTCTGTTTTATACTTGATTACATTTGTGTCATAAATTTTCACTCTGTAATCGAAATTTTCAGGAGATTAATAATAGTGTGAAGATATGCTGGACAATGTTCAAGGTTCCTTTGTGCCTTCTTTGACTTAATTTTCATGTTGAATGTGCTTTTGACAGAAAAAATAGTTTTAGTGTAGTTTTTATGCATTTCCTGTCTTTTATATATACTTCTTTAGTTCAATATTCTAAGGCACTTTTAATTGAAACACACCTTTCAATAAATTATTCAGTTATCTTTAAAATTACATACTCTTTTTGTGTTTATCTTTATTTAATAAAGTATTTCAATTAGAAAACCTTATTAATTGTATTCTTAATTAACTTTATTTTTGGAAAAATCTCATTAATTGCACTTTAAAAGACCTAAAATAATTTATATTTTTGAACATCTTATTTAAAAAAAAATATTTTATATTTTTTAATAGAAGGAGTGTGTGTGTGTGTTAATAGATTAATATATTAATAGAAAAAATGGTTTTATTGTATTTTAACTTTTGTTGTTGGCTGTCATGCTTTTATTGGATTATATATATATGATGAATCCTATATCATGGATGACATGGTATTAATAGCAATGAAATTTGAGGATGGCGAGAATGAGCATAGTGGCATGAAATAAACTCAAGGCAAGGAGTAAGGAATCCAACACTTTCAATACAACATGCCAAAAGATCCTTTACAATATATTGAAGATTCAATGATAAGAGTTTGAACTGAAGCCATAAAACAAATCTTGTTTATTCTTGTGCAAGAAATTTAATAGCTTGGAGAGCATTGAGGCACTTCTCTCAAACCTAAAGGAGAGCATCTAGAAGTGTATAATATGCTTAAAATTTAAATTCATGAAGAGTCAAGCTCAAGAGGTGCAAACCCTAGCCCAATACAAGGAAAACTATAAGTAGAGCCTCTTGCAAGTAATAAGACGTGAAACCCTAGTGAAGAGGTCAAGGATAGTGTGATTTGAGTCCCTTATAATACTTTGATTGTCTCCCTAATTGTTTTTTAATTTAGTAATCCTTTAACTTGACTCCCTTTTTTAAGAAGTAAAACTAATTATATTTTTCTATTTTGAGCATAGTCAAATATTACGATTAATTATATTATTTTTTAAATTTTGTAATCCCATAATTTTAGAATCACATTTCTTAAATTATGTGATAATATTTTCTTTTATTTTATATTATTTTCATTCTCCTTTTAATATTAGGAAATTATAATTAAAATTTTAGGAAATAGTCTTTATGAGTTTACATATGTTAGGTGTGCTCTCTCTTGTAAATGGAAGAGAAATTAAATAAAATTATTCATTTTAGAGTTTATAACTCTTATGAGTCTTAGTACTTTGTAGTGACATCCCGTGTGATAAACAGATATGATTAAGAGCGTGGTCAACTCTTGTGATGTCTTTGAAGATTGAGGTTCATAAAGGCAAGTGATATAGAGAATTTTTTCCTTGATCATTATCCTGTTGTTGTTGTTGTTGTTGTTTTTTCATTTCTTTCTCTGTTTTCATCATAAAGTTCGTCCATTTCTTTTTGTTTTTGTGTTTTTGTTGTGTTTTAGGGTTCTATCCCTAAACTAGCATGATTTCGTTTCCGCATCCTTTATCATATATATATATATATATATATATATATTTCTCCCCACAAGATATAAGATAAATTGAGATAAGATTAGGTATACTGATAAAATATAATAATGACACTTTACAAATTTACTTTTTTAAAACAAAACTATAAAAATTTAAAACATTATTCCTACAGACTTAATTATTATGCTGTAATATTATTTTAATTCTTTCTCCATTTGAAAGATAATATTAAAAAAATATTCTTAATAAAATCTTAATTTTTTTAAGTTACCTTACATTTTTGGATAGAAATTCTTTTAAAATAGTCAAGAGGAAGTATAACATGCATTTGCACAATTGGCAAGAGAATGATCTAAAATGATGGAAGCCCTATTTTATTTTTTTTCTTGGTACATCATCCATATCCCAGTTAAGAAAGTCAAACCAAAATACAAACTTTGACTACGTGTTAAGCATTGACTTGTATTTTCTTGCGGAAAACGAGGTTATAAACATTTCAGATTTCAACATTCTAAATGAAACATGCAAACTGTAATTGGATGATAGAATTTGACTTCTACTTCCCTTTCCTGTCACACCAAAAAGATGCCCGAAAGCCACGTCAACTTTAGATTTGAATCTTTTTCAATGCTGACGGAGATCCTGCAATATTATTTTAAATAATTAACAATTAAAAATCTTTAATTATATATACAAATCTATATATTAAAAATGTAATGTATTTTTATCTTACCCCAATAAAATATTTAATTATTTTTAAACTTATAATATCTTTTTATATTTATATTTATTTAATAAAATATTTTACTTAAAAAATCTATAAAACCCGTTAATTATATTTAAAATATTAAATATATTAAAAATATCTTTTTTAAACATTTAACTTTTAACAAAAAATGCCTTTTGAGAATATCTTTTTTTATAAAAAAAAGTTGTAACCCTTCTTCCGCTCAGCACCGCTATTTCCAGTGCTATGCTAAATCGCCTCTTAGAGTTACGATTTTACCCTCCTTCAAATCCTGCTATCGTCGTCCCGATTCTGCTAACCTGGACGCTCTACCAGTCTCAAACATCCAAACGTTGTCACTTTCACGTGCAAGGGTATTTTGGTCAAATCAAAATCATCTTCTCATAGATAAATCGCGGGGGGTGGGTTGCGTGGGATTTCGATCGCTGAAGATTGGAGAGACTCAATTGTTTCATCCCAGACAGTAAAAATGGTTGCCACGGACAAGGTATTCTTTCTCCTTGCTTGTTGTTTCTTGGAAAAGTTAATTCTTTTTCTCGAGCAATATTTTTTTTTTTTCCCTGGTGAGCGTGCGGCCGAATGTTTTCTCTTCAATTTTTGATAGGCATTACCGATAATAGCTTACGGACCTTAGTTTAGGAAGAGCTCTATTATAGCTGTTTTAAACTTTGGTTAAGTATGGACATGTGAGGTTTGATTACGATAAACATACTGAAACCCTTACCGTGCTATACTGGAGATTAATTGATACGTTTCCTGGGTTTTCTGGACTCATACTGCATATTTGGTTTTAGATGGAAAAATTTTGAGAACTTGGGAGGACTATCTGGGCCTGGGTACTCTTTAATATCAGTGTTTGAAATGAATTCTCCATGATCAATTTTTCCGTCTTAGATTTCATCCTTTGATCCTATTAAACACCTCTGTCTAAAAATACTCAATAGATTTTGCTTTCACCCATTCTCTAGCTTGATGCAAAACTCAGAGAATTATTATTCATATGTATGTTATATCCATATCTAACATCCAAAACATATTCACTTCGTCTGAAAATACAACTTTATCCTTGGATTCTGGATGTTTCTCCTTTTGATGGATTTGGAAAAATATTTCCAACAACGCATGGAAGATCCTTTGTCTCAACTATTGAAAAGTTGATCATTATTCTATGTATGATGGGAGTAGGTTGAACTCTATATCATGTCTCTTAATCATGTAATCTCCTATGACTGATGGCTCTTAATGATTAGTTATTGTGATGAGTGTGGCGATATCATTAAATCAGTTAACTGAATTTTATTAATTGAGCATCAAGTTAGTCTGTTTTTATCTTGAAGTGTGTTGTATAGTGTTTACAAGATTCCACGAACTGGTTATCTAGAGTTCTGTACTTTTTTTAATTCAATTCTTGACTATGCTACTGTATTTCAATTTGCACCTTTTTTTATGTCCAGCTTGGGTTCAAATTTCCGGTTGGTTTGGGTTTTCATCTTTCATGGTTGCTAAACATTAGAGGAATCATTTTTCAAATTTCTTATCTCACAGGATCCTCGAGAGGAAGTTATTCAAGCATGGTATATGGATAGTTCTGATGCAGATCAGAGACTGCCACATCACAAAGAACCCAAGGAGTATGTATCATTGGACCAGCTTGCTGGTAAGCATCTCTGGAATATTTGCTTGTTCTATTTAGCTGCTGATTGAGAGTTTCACGCTACTCTAAATCATGTTGATGTTTCAGAACTTGGAGTTCTCAGCTGGCGATTAGATGCTGATAATCATGAGACAGACCCAGAGTTGAAAAAGATTCGGGAAGATCGTGGTTACAGCTACCAGGTCTGCTATATGTTATTTCATTTATAACAGCAAAGCCATACAAACTTTCCTGTGGTTAAAGTACCATAAGCAGAGAGTTCCTTTTCTATGACATGACATTATGCATGCCTGATGCATGGAAAATGTTAAAATGTCCTAATAAAACTAACAGTTTATTTCATTTGACACCCTTGCATCTACATAGCTCCTCTATTTTATGCTAAATAGAGGTGTGGATGGTTTTCCTGCGAACATCAAATTCCCTAGTTACCTCTATGGGAAATTCCCCAACTACCCCTTAATTCCCTTGCGACACTATGTGTGGGAAGCCATACTATTTGATTTTTTGGTTTTCTTTAACGGTTAAAATGATCTGTTGCTGTTGCTGGTGCCAAATATCTCAGTTTGACAATCGGCTATCTCTGTATTTGCACTGTCATTAAAACTGAGGTACATTACGTGCAGGATGTTTGTGAAGTTTGCCCAGAAAAATTGCCTAATTATGAAGAGAAGATCAAAAGCTTTTTTGAGGAGCATCTTCATACTGATGAGGAGATTCGGTACTGTGTTGCTGGAAGTGGTATGTACAGTACAGAGTCATGCTTTATTCTGACCTTTTAGTTCCCAACGACTTACCTCATTCAGTTGCTAATTTTTTACTCTATTGCTTAAGGTTATTTTGATGTCAGGGATCGCAATGATGCTTGGATTCGTGTATGGGTAAAGAAAGGAGGAATGATCATCTTGCCTGCTGGGATTTATCATCGCTTTACTCTGGATGAAAGCAACTATATCAAGGTATTGATTACATATGGACTTAGTTGTACTTAATTAGCATTTTATCAATGTGAAGATGTGTACCCCTTAACCTTTTTAGTTTATCCATCCCATCATGGGGGTTTAGCTTAATTTTCAAAGTACCTTACCTCAACACCCTGGGCCTTCTGGAAAGTATTTTTATTGTTGTGGTCTGGGGTCTTGGATATTAATAATTTTCAAAAAACAAATATCCACTTGCCGAACTTTTTCTGAGTTGGGTTCGTGTAAAGTTTTTAACTTGAGATAGTTTATGTTGAAGATCACTGTGGTAGAACTTATCTAAACTTTACGTGGTAAAACTAGTCCTTTGGTCCGAAAACATACCAATATTATTCTCACGCGTAACTTCTCTAGCTCTTTCTGGTAATTCATGTTTAAGCATCACACTGAAATTTTAGATGGCAAACATGTCCATATTTCACTTCACTTGACTCATCTTTTCCTGGGGCCTATTAGGTGGAATTGTCAAATTTCTTACACGATTATGAATTTGCAGGCTCTTCGATTCTTTGTTGGCGAACCAGTTTGGACTCCATACAATCGTCCTCACGATCATCTTCCTGCAAGGTATGATGATTGTACATACAAGTGATGGAAGGATAATCACATAGGAGACTTTGTACTTCATAGAGACTTACACGGGAGTTGAAATTTTGCAGAAAGGAATATATCAATTCTTTTGTGGAGAATGATGTCGCAAACCATGCTGTTGATGCTACGGCCTAGAGATCTACTTCTGCTATTGGTCTAATTATAATAATTATAATTATAACTATAATTGGAATGAGTGTGAGAAGGCCTGAGCTTTTGCTGCTGAAAAAAATCTGGGCTCATTAAATAAAGATGCTTACTTGATGTCTTGGCTCTGTTCGAGGGACATCTAGGAGTTGATAATGATACAATGTACAAAGTTTATGCTGTTGTTATTTCGCCACTCGCTGTATAATTAAGGATTGTCTTGGTGGTTGTTCCGAGTTATCCTCATTTTCATCTTCCAAGTTCATATGACCCGAAAAAAGATCATGATTAGTTCAGGTGAAGCATATTATATAAAATTTGAAATCAGGAAAAATAATTTTTTAACATCACCTTTAATGATCTAATTAGATAAATAGTGCGAATATTATTTTAATTTTCTCATACCACGTAATAATTTAGTAATAATATCTTCTAAGAATAACAATTGCAATAAAAATCCACCTAAGATAAATTTTATTTATAATAATTTATTTGTCGCAGGAGTAGTCCTCATCTTCCATTCTCCATCAATCTTTCATTCTCAGTGCCATCATCATGATATAATATAATCAAATCTCTTATATTGTCTTGAAAAAAAAATTTTATTTTGTTTTTAATATTTTCAATAATATGTTTTGATAATTTTGGTAATTTTGATTTTTATATTTTTTATTTAAATTGTTATATTTTTTCTTAAAGATATCAAGTGATATACATATCATAAAACTCAAGTTTTTATTATCATTATATATCTAAACCTGCTTTTGCCTTAAACTAACCATTCAAATATGTTTTAGTTTGTCAAATTGATTTTTTTTTAAAAAAATCCAAACATATATTATACTCTGTTCTGAGTTTATAAGATGATTTTAGAAGTGTTTGATATTTTAAAATATAAAATAATTTAATAAAAAATAAGATTTTATTTAAATATTTTTTTAATATTATCCTCCCATCTTTATTACGTTCTCTCTGTTGTTTTATAAACAAAAAATTTTATTATATTCTCTCTCTTTAAAATTATTAAATGAATGATATTTTTGTAATTTAAATTTTTTTTGAAAAACAAGAAGATTATAAAATGTGTTTAATGAATTTTATTAGTACATATAATTTTTTTTAAATTATCTTATAAACTAGGATAAAATATTATAGTAATTGACTTTTATCTCAATTTCAATTTATAAACTTTAATTTGTGAAACATTTCAGTTTAGCAAGTATTAATCCAAACAAGTGCTGCTATGGTTTTTTTTTTAATTCCATATATCCTGGAACTGGAAAATTGGGATATTATCACTATCTAGACTAATTTAAACTGATTACTATTATCAATTGCGGTCTTATGAGTATCTCAAGAATAATTTTAACATATTTATTTAATATGAATAGGGATTGTAAAACTTTAACCTTAAACTTTAGAATAAGTTGATCTAACTCCCATGTTGTAGGTAGTTTTTTTTTCCCACCGTAGCACTATAACAATTCTTCTTCATGAGTTTAGATTCTTCGTTTCCAATTAATAAATAAAAATATAGCATATAATGGAGGAAAGGTAACAAAAATAGGTGGTAAAGAAAAAGGAAAGGAGCACTTTCATGCTGTTAATTTTTTATATTTTTATTTAAAATACGTAATATATTATTATATAAAATTATGTCAAAATTGAATTAATTAAAAAATATTTAATCATTAATTAATCATCACCTAATTTTCTTGCCAACAGCTTCTGACTTTTTTTTAAAAAAAAAAAAAAAACTATCTCCGAACAAGTTGTATAGTTAAATTGTTTGCACGTCCAGGTCAGAACAGCTCGTTGTTTGATTGGCTGGTGAAAGGTGGAGCTGTTTGCGTTTCACACGTAAGTCTTCTAAACGACATCGCCAAAGCAGGTAAAACCATCCTCACTGGCGTCGTTGCGGCGCCGAGGAAGCAACGTGCTCGAAATCGCAGTTTTTAAGATCCGAGAGGCACAAGAGCTAGAGCTACTGAAACTGAGTTGCTCGCCCAGAATTCGTGTGCTTATAATCTTCAATCGGGAAAAAGAGGGAATTTGATGGAAGAAACGAATAAGAGAAGCGCGAGGGTGTGTATGCTGTTGATCTGCTTGTTGCTGAGCTTTTTAGGTAGGATTGAATCGTTGTCTGTGACCGTAAACGACGTTGAGTGCGTGTATGAGTATGTGCTCTACGAGGGTGACACGGTTACTGGGAACTTTGTTGTCGTCGATCATGACATTTTCTGGAGCTCCGATCATCCCGGCATCGACTTGACGGTGAGTTCGATGTGCCTTTTTTTTTATTGGTTCGCTTCCCTTTTTGCTCATCGTTTTTGTTTCCCTAGTTTTTTTTTAATCAAATTATTTGTTGATCTGTGAATATTTTGTTGATTTGCGCTATTTTAAATGGTAGAAAGCCTTTTGGCCTCATTTTTGTTTGGTAGAAAAATATGAAGATGATTTACGCATCTTGACACAAGTCGCATACTTTTTCTTTGATACCTCACCTAGAATAGTTGACATTACTGTTCTGAATAACAGTTCAAAGGTTCTGATACTTTGATATGCTGCTGATACAGAAATAAAGGCATGTCGAATAATGGTTCCAGTCCTGGAATTAGGGTTTTTGATTTGGTCAGATAGGAGTTTGCATATTTGTTTGATGGACTTAAACCTAGATTGAAATAAAACCCAAATATAATACTGTTTGATTAAATCAAAAGCCATGAACTTCATTCTGCGTCAGCTGCCTAGACAGTTTTATAGTTGCTAGTCAAGCGGATGAGTGTTACAACTTAATAGAGAATGGAGGGAAGACTGAAAAGGGAAGAGCAAGCTACACAGATAAAAAAGATTGGTCGGATAGATTCCTTAGTTCCTCGTCAAACCCAATATCTGATCAAAACTTCTCCCGATTTCTCTGCAATATCCTTATCATTCTTGTTTTGGTTTTTCAATTATCTCCTATCCTCCGCTCCTGAAAGCTAGAAGTAGTATGTTGTACAATTTCTTCATCTTACTGGATTTTTTTCAATATACCGCTTTGTTTCAGCCATAAAGGATTGAGATTGTGTGTCTAGACCCTTACTTGCTTTTCAACCGATTTCATCCTGGTTGACTCTGCCATCATTCCTATCACAGACCTGAAAGGGAAGAAGGGATATTCCACCAAAACAAAAAAGAGAAGAAGGGATAAGAGAAAGAGAATAAAGGGAGAGAGGATCAGAACCTGATTTTTTTCCCCCTGGATGAATGTTTAATTGTCTAGCATTTGCTATTTTATTAGATCTTAAGATGAGTGTTTAACAGTAGTCTGGGCATTTGCTATTCTATTTTATTGTAACATATGCCATTTTTGTGGAAGTATGAAACGAAGTTGAAGATTTGAAGTTCTAATGTTTCTGAATAAAAAAGAGGCTGAAATCCTAATAAGCAACGGATTCCTTTTAGCCAGTTAGATAATTGAAGAGTAAAGAGCAGTCTATAATAACAGTAGGGAGTTTGATAAGCTATAGAATCCGATCTATGTCTTTGTAATATGGTTTGTGTTGCGTCATAAGTCATCGATGGCACCTTTAGATGATGTTGGAAATCTCTAATGAAACGTAGATCCAGACTTCCTTTCAGTCTCACTTAAGAGGATGATCAATGAATCTATGGCTGTTCCTCCTACTTTAAGAATGAGGTTGTAAGTAGAAAATACAACAACAACAACAACAACAACAACAACAACAACAACAAGCTTTTATCCCACTAGGTGGGGTCGGCTACATGGATTGCAAGACGCCATTGTGCTCTATCATTTATTAAGCTTTTAGAAATATTATAATTAAGAGATCACGTTCAACAACTTCCAAGAGTGTTCTCTTAGGCCTTCCTCTACCTCTCTTAGTCGGACTCAAAGTTATATGTTCCACTCTTCTCACTGGTGCCTCCCTTGGTCTTCTTTGTACATGCCCAAACCATCTCAACCGATTTTCTACCATTTTTTCCTCAATAGGTGCCACCCTCACTTTTTCACGTATGTGCTCATTTCGAATTTTATCTTTACGTGTATGTCCGCACATCCATCGTAACATTCTCATCTCTGCTACTCCAACTTTATGCTCTTGCTGTCCCGTTAGAGTCCAGCATTCACTACTATATAACATTGCCGGTCTGATAGCAGTACGATAAAACTTTCCTTTAAGTTTATTAGGCACCTTACGGTCACAAATAACTCCTTTAGCTTTTCTCCAATTAAACCACCCAGCTTGAATTCTATGTGAAATATCTCCACTGATTTTGCCATCATTTTGAATAATGGCTCCCAAATATCTAAACTTTTCCACTTGAGGTATAATTTGATCTCCCAATTTCACTTCCAAATTATTTTCGAATAGTCCTTTACCAAATTTACAATATAAATATTCCGTCTTACTTCTACTCAGACGAAAACCTTTCAACTCCAATGTCTTCCTCCATAACTCAAGTTTGCAATTAACCTCTTCTCTTGTCTCTGCTATAAGAACTATATCATCCGCGAAGAGCATACATTTCGGGATTTCCTCTTGAATATGTTCCGTCAAAATATTTAAAATCAAGTTGAACAAATAAGGACTCAGAGATGATCCTTGATGTAATCCAATCTTTATAGGAAAATCCTTTGTTTGACCACTAGGCGTTCTTATACTAGTTTTTACCCCCTCATACATATCTTGTATGGCTTTAATATAAGCAATTCGTACTCCCTTTTTTTCCAACGCTTTCCAAAGCACTTCTCTTGGTATACGGTCATAAGCTTTTTCCAAATCAATAAAAACCATGTGTAGATCTTTATCTTTACAACGATACTTTTCCATTAATCCCCTTAGTAGATAAATCGCCTCTGTAGTTGATCTACCTGGCATAAAACCAAATTGATTCTCAGAAATACTTGTCTCCAATCTCAACGTGTGCTCAATTACTTTCTCCCACAATTTCATTGTGTGGCTCATGAGTTTAATCCCTCTATAGTTAGTACAATTCTGAATATCTCCTTTATTTTTATAAATAGGAATTAATGTACTTCTCCTCCACTCATCAGGCATTTTCTTGGACCGTAAAATCACATTAAATAACTTAGTTAACCATCTCACCCCTTCTTCACCTAAACATTTCCACGCTTCGATAGATATACAATCAGGTCCGTTAGCTCTACCATTTGCCATTTTCTTAAGAGCTTCCTTTACCTCCTTATCACATATTTTTCGATAGAATGACAAATTTTGTTCTCCTTCACCAGTTACTAAATCCTCCAAGTTACTAGATGAATCCTCTCCATCATTGAAAAGTTTAGAAAAATAAGTCTCCCATCTATTTTTAATTTCATCATCTGTAACTAAAATTCTTCCCTCTTCATCCTTAATACACCTTACCTGTTCTAGATCTCTTGATTTTCTTTCCCTACTCTTGGCAATCTTATAAATATTTTGCTCTCCTTCCTTCGTCTCAAGGTTCTTATAAAATTCTTCAAAAGCTTTGGAATGAGCTTCACCCACAGCTCTCTTAGTTTCCTTCTTAGCCATACGGTACCTCTCCCAATTTTCCTCATTGTTACACAAATGTATGGCTTTAAAACAGTTCTTCTTATACTTGATTTTGTCCTGTACACTATTATTCCACCACCAAGACTCCTTATCTCTCGGACCAGAACCTTTCGATTCTCCCAAAACTACTTTTGCAACCTCCCTATCTTTTTAGCCATATCCTCCCATATAATGTTAGCACTTCCCTGAGAATCTCAAATTCCTTTATCCAAAAGATTTCGCTTGAAAATATCTTGCTTCTCACCTTTTAATTGCCACCACCTAATCTTTGGTGTTACTACTTGTCGACGTTTTTGGATTTTACTCATAATACACACATCAAGGACTAGGACCCTATGTTGTGTCGTTACAGCATCTCCAGGAATCACCTTACAATTTTTACAAAGTTTTCTATCTGTGTTCCTAACCAAAAGAAAATCAATCTGCAACCTTGAGGCTCCACTTTTGTAAGTGATGAGATGCTCATCTCTCTTCTTGAAACAAGTGTTGGCAATCTTAAAATCATACGCCAATGAGAAATCAAGAAGAGTTTGCCCTTCATTGTTTAGCTCTCCAAAACCAAAACCACCATGCACCCTCGCATACTGACCAGCTTTCCTCCCGACATGCCCATTAAAGTCTCCTCCAATAAAAATCTTTTCACTCTGTGGTATGTGTCGAATCAACCCCTCCAGATCCTCCCAAAATAATTCCTTAAGACTGGCTTCTGTCCCGACTTGCGGTGCATAAGCGCTAACAATATTAACAGTCTCACGTCCAATTATCATTTTTAAAGAAATAATTCTGTCTCCAATTCTGCTAACTTCTACAACGTTATTCTTCCACTCCTTATCTATAATGATGCCTACTCCATTGCGTGCACTTACTTTTCCTGTATACCAAAGTTTGAAATCTTGAATATCCTTAGCTCCTTCTCCACGCCATTTTGTTTCTTGCAAGCAAAGGATATTGATTTTCCTTTGAATCATAACCCCTACAACCTCTACAGATTTACAATTTAATGTCCCAACATTTCAAGTACCAAATCTAATTTTGCTCTTATGGACTAACTTCTTTAGCCGCGTGCGTCCAGAATGACGCGGTAGCCCTTGCTCATTTAACACTACATCCGGGCGCCGATGCAGCGGCTCTAACTCACTTATCACTGTACTCGAGCCATGCAGCGCGTTACTTACGGGCAACGACCTAGCATTAACATTATAACGTCTATTGTCCATGTTCATGATAGATTCAACAAATTTTTACATTGGCTGTTGATGGCCTAACACAACCCTCCTCCTTTACCCGGGCTTGGGACCGGCTATAAACATAGGCGGAGTTGACAGAATAATGTCTTTGATCCATGTCACAAGGGATTGACAGAATTTATATTGGCTATTGAGAGTCTAACACAATCTTTCCCTTTATCTTGCTGGGGACCTCTATGAAACATAGGTGGAATTAGGTTGGAAGTAGAAAATATAGTTGTTCATTCATTTGATGTATGAAAAACATTTTAGACAAGAACTTGGTAGATTTTCTTGTTTTGCTGGGTTAAATCACTGATACTTGGTGATGCATTAAAGGATCACCAGACCAGGATGTTTTTAAGAGTTATATAGTTATTGTGAACTCATCTGGTGCAAGAAAAAACTACCCCGACAAAGTCATCAGTAGTTGTGTTAAATAGATCTTATCATGGTGTCATGGTCTCTAGTTTTGAAGTTGCAGTGTACTGATGCACTAATGTAGTAATAAATCTAGCCCAGACGAGGATGCTTTTAAGAGTTATGAAATTATTGTTAACTTATTTCTTGCATAAACAATATCTGATTATAAATATTTGTTTTTGATAATTTTTTCCTTGTCATGCGCTCTTGTTTTGAAGCATTGACTAGACATGGCTTTCTGTGCATTGCACAAAACGTGAGGGATGAACCACACTATTTATGGTTATGAATAGTATGTCTTGCTATGGATATTTATTACATACTCCCTCAAGTCCTATATATAAAGCAAAGAGAGAAGGATTTTTTGGTCTTATTTTCAAGTCATTATTGTTTTATTACAAGTTTTTCCTTTTATCCCCATTAAATTTTGGTGAGAGAAAGTATGCATATTAATAAGGGCAAAATTGAAAACTTATTAAATTTTTAGACAAGAGTTAATGAGTTTTTAGTTATTTTTTTTGTTCTAATGAAACATATTGGAAGTAACGTATAAATAGGATTAGAGGGAGTATATTGATATGTTGGTGTTTGCCTTGCTGTCATTTGTTTAAGATATATTGGAATTCTATTAATGTTTGCCTAAATTATAACTTCAGAAAAGACCAATAAATTGGTAAATTCTTTTTCTTCTATTGTATTATTATTGACTTTTAAATTGTGATGCTTGTTCTCCAAGTTCTTTTAAAATGAGAAGCGCTGGAGAATTTGGAACAAAGTCAGGCTGCAAAATAAAATGTAGAAAGTGATAACAGGTGGGAGGCTGGCGGGATGAGCTAATAAGGTCTAATGTGGATTGCTCATATTTGAATGGATGGCCTTGGTTTTCTTCACATAAAACGATTTATTTTCCTGTATTGTTCATTTTAAATGTCAATCCCTGAAGAGTATGGTTTAGAGACCATGCCAATGCCTTTGGTAACCTCTCTGCGCAGAAGTTTTTTGGAAAATTGTGTGCTCACAATGCTAGGAAGTAGATCAGGAGACGTTGTTGGTTTCTGATTTGCATGATCAAGTTGTAGATTAGTGTTCAATATTGGCTTTCAGAATGATCCACCTATTATTGTTTTATATGGTTCGCTTTTCAGTTATCCTAATTTTGTGGTAATCTACAGGTGACATCTCCTGGAGGTAACATAGTCCACACTATCAAAGGAACCTCTGGCGACAAGTTTGATTTTAAAGCCCCACGAAGTGGAATGTATAAATTCTGCTTTCATAACCCTCATTCCACACCTGAGACTGTTTCTTTCTACATTCATGTTGGTCATATCCCTACTGAGCATGATCTTGCTAAAAACGGTATGTTCTTTGCATAAGCAGGTTTTATTGCTATAGTCTGTTATGTTGTCATATTGCCATCTTTAGGTGCATATAGATCATGAACTGTGTGATGAACATTTACTATTAATATGAGGTACTGCTTGAGTATTAAAAAAAATAATAATAAATTGAGGTATTGCTTGAAGTATGTGAAGATTGATGTTAGTGTGTGTATTTTTTGGACTTAGTGAATATTGACGTTAGTTAAGTTTCTTTCTCCCCATCTTTTGGGGGCTTCCTATTGACTTTGATTGGCGAATTTGCAGAGCACTTGGACCCAATAAATGTTAAAATTGCTGAGCTCAGAGAGGCACTAGAGTCTGTTACAGCTGAGCAAAAATACCTTAGAGCCCGTGATGCACGGCATCGACATAGTAAGTTGATTTTCTTTTTGATGAACTGTGACAGGCCCATGTAGAAGGTCGGCTGTTGCCTAGTAGTCGTGTCATTTTTCTTTCTATGTTAAATACGTTGATTCAATTCATTAGTTCCATGATAGTGATGGTTCCTAGACATCAGTTTTAAAGTTTTACCCATCTTGATATTGGTGGCAAGTGTTAGCAACAGAAGTTTGCATGTTGATTTAGTCCTTTTAAGTTCTATACATCGCTGTATATTATATAGTGCAATAACTAAAGCTAGAGACACATGGACTCCTCCCGAAGTTGGCATTTGTGATATCAAACGTCACTCTCTGGACCAGCAGAAGCATTACGCGCGCGCGCGCGCATCATTTATCGTTTACGTTTTCAACAAGCCTTTAGTCCTTGTCATCATCTTAGAGAGTTGCATTTAGGCAGTTTGTTCCTTCTAAATCTGTAAGCTGTCCTTAAGTCGATATCTGTTGACGACTGCATCAATGTTCAGTTTATTCATTAGTTTTCTGATATTGCTGCTTCAGCTAACTAGGTTTATCAAAACTCAATGAAGTACTTAAGAACACAGTGGCTAGTACCATTATCTGACTCAGCTTCCTATTTTATTTACGATGATGCAGCGAACGAGAGCACCCGGAAGCGCGTTATATTCTACACGGTGGGAGAGTACCTTCTTCTAGCTCTTGTTAGTGCACTGCAAGTTGTATACATCCGGCGGCTTTTCAGCAAGTCAGTGGCCTATAACCGTGTTTGAATCTCCTCCTCCTTTTCTTTTAGCTGAAGGGTTAGGTTTTACAGTTGTTTTCCCTTTGTGTAACAATATGATGGCTGGTGAGTACTATTTTCTTTCCTTCCAACAGAGAGTAATTTATATTCATAACTCTGAAAACCAAAAAAGAGGTTCCTAGATTCCCATTTCCTGAAATTTTCTGTTCGAGAGAGTTCATTTACACTTTGTGGGAATTTACTACGATCTTTGTAAGAGATAAAGCTTGTTTGTTTTCTCAATGGTTGGAGAAGAATAGAACATCTTGGGTCATTCAAGGAGCATGGAATTCCTATTATTGCATGCAATTAATATAAAATATACCATTATATATAAATGATAAACTCTTGTAAATTTTAAATTTTAAATGATAAACTTATTGTATATGAATAATAAACTTTTTATATATCAATATTAATATGTTATACTTTCAAATTTTTAAAAATTTGATCTACATTTTTTGGATACAAGAGTTTTGGCCATACTCCCAAAACCTGTAGCAACCTTTTATGTGAGGTGTAAAAATCTATTATTCTATTATTTATATGTAAAAGTTGATTGTAGTTTGAATACTTATGAAAAACATTGATGTAGTTGTGTGCCTCAAATGTGTGCAAATAAAATTATGAAGTATAAGTTAATTATATACTGTTAAATGAATTTCTCTTCTATTGCACACCTAGTATTTTCTTAAATATTTTATTTTCTTTAAAGTGATACATAGGGTAATACATTTTGAAAAAGAACAAGTTAGATTATATTTAAATTGTAGTAGATGAGAAATTTAAAAAAACAGTGCTATATATATATATTTATAAGAGTAGTACTCCTTTTATTCAAAAATGTAAGGTATTTTTAATCGAATTTTATTCCCCAATGAAGTAGTACTTACTTTCAAACTAACTTTATTTTTTTTATACTTACCCCTATTAAGCAACCTACAATAAATATAAAGTCATTATTAATAGGAGTTTTTTTAAAAAAAGTAATGATTACATATTAAAAAATTAAAAATACTTTATATTTTTTAACATCATACTCCTCAAAAGATACCTTATATTTTTTAATGGAGGTAGTATATTTTAAAATAAAAGCTTTTTCTTAAAGGTATAATCTCATTAAACTTTTATTATCATATTTGCCAACTGTAGAGATACCATAAAAAACCAAAAGAATTAAATTTTAACTTACAAGAGACAATACAATTATTTTAAAATAAAATAAGTCATTATTTATATTTTTAAAATGTAGAACATAACAAATTTTGAAATAAAATATTCTTTAGATTTTAATTTGCATAAATTAATAAATTACATAGTAAAATACACTGATAACCCTTTTGTTTTGTTAAAATTATAAAGACTTTTTCTTTATTTTAAAACTTACACTTTAATCTCATTTTATATTTATTTTATATTGAAATACCCAATAAAATAGTAAATATGAAAATATGGTGTTATTTCAAAAACTATTAACTATTTTATTAGAGGTAAAATTTGGTTATAAATGCCTTACATTTTTGAAAAGATGGAGTATGTATTTAATTTTTTTAAAAAAATACTAAATAAATTAGTTTGTATGACTAATAAATTTAAAATATAAATAAAAATTTAAAAGAATATATCAAGAATGGTATTTTAGTCCAACATATATGACTTAGTTGTTAATTAATGATTGGATGAGTGAAAATGAAAACTTAAAAGTAGAGGACATATTTGTATTTTGTAACTTTTAATTATTGATTTTAAGCAGGATTAGTATATATTTTAAAAATAAAAAAATCTTTATAATTAAGTTAAAATAAAGGAAAAATTAATATATTTTATTTTAAGGATATTAAAATAATTTTTTAATAGGGTTAATATGTAATTTGAATCATAAGCTATAGATATAGGAATAATTTGAATTTTAAAATTTTAAATTATATATCTTAAACCCTAAATAATAAAATTTGGGACAATTTTGCCCTCACCATTAAATTTTAACAAATACTTGTTAGTTTTTTAAAATTGAGATATAATGTGCGATTTTCACTAAATTCTATTATTTTTAGGTAAAAAATCTAATTGTCTTACTATTCTAATATCACTTTCTTTTTTGTTGAATAAAAGAGATATGTACTAATGCCTTGAAGTTATAAATGGGATAAAACATGTAACTTCTCACTTATAGAAAAGTTTTCATGCCATTGAGTTAATTGCTAATGGCACGTGTGAAAAAAAAAATTAATGTTTCAAACAAATCTAGAAGGTGATTAATGAAAAGAACCAAAGACACTTGTTACAAGATCGGGAGGAGCATATTAGTGTAAGATGCGAGTGTCAATTGAAATAAATCTCTCAGCAGTCGAGGAAGCCAAGATAGGTTAAAGGTACTGCTTACGGCAATTGTGGAAGCACTGATTCTTTGCACTAATGAATCATACTCATAATCGTTGCTTCGTCTTAACTAATAAAAGTTTGGGATTAAAATGAAAACCTGCCTTGAGATATCCTTAATTAAAGAAAAGGATAATGTTATCCCCAATCTTTTTAAAAACAAAGCAATTGACACCCAATTTTAACAAACCCTGAATGTTGCCATTAGTTTGACTAATTAATACTTAGTTGGTCATTTATGTAGCATCCGCCTCACTCTTTATTAGGATTAAGGTATAAGTCTATCTTTATGCTATATTTGGATACACATGGATTTGGATTTGATCCAAATCCTTTGTTTGGATAATTAAAAATATATAGATTTAGATTTGACCCAAACCCAAACCCAAAATCTTCCTTAATTTTTTTGTAATTTGAAATCATTTCTAAGCCCCTATCATTTCAAATCTTAATTTAAGCTCTTTCATAATTTAATCCAAATGCATGAAGGCTTAATCGACTTTCTAATGATAATTGGACTGAATTGCCAAAGTTTGCAGAAACAAGCTGCCACTATTGACTGGGACAGGACTAGACCAACGATGACTGGAATTGGACAGCCAACTTTCACCGAGATTGGATTGACGGCGACCAGGGGGACCATATGGCCAACTTCCATTGGGACAAGACTACAGGCAAATATAGGGATTGGACAACTGACTTCCATTAGAATTGGATTGATGGTGACCACGAGGACCAAAAGACTGACTTTCATCGGGACTGGATTGATGGAGACCACGGGAACCAGATAGCCAACTTCCAATGAGACTAGACCAACGGTGACCATAGGGATCAGACATCCAACTTTCATTGGGATCAAACCTATCGCAACCAAGGGGACCGAACGGCTGACTTCCACCGCGACTAGACTGACAACGACCACAGGGACCTGGATGGCCAACTTCCACTGGGATTGGATTGACAGCGATGATGGGGACCAAATTGCTTGCTTCCACGGGGACCAAACTGACAATGACGAGAATCGAACGACCCATTGTCACTAGCACTAGATCGACTATGATGATCGGGATCGAACGATCGACTTCAATCAAGATCAGACAGACAATGACGATGGGAACTGGACGACTGACTTCCACCAAGACTTAATCGATGATGATAACGAGGACCAAAAGTCCAACTTGCACCAGGCGTGGATCGAATGGCCGCCTTTCTTCACGATCACCTTCAGTCTAGTCGCTGTCACTGTCTTTATTGGTGTGATTCGATGCCAGTGAAAGTCAATCGTACAGTCCTTGTTGTAGCCATTGGTCCTATCTGGTGCCTATGTAAGTTGGCTGTCCTATCCTTGTCGTCCCCTTTAGTTCGATCCTCGTCATCCCCATTGGTTTGGTCCCGGTGAAAGTCAACCTCTGATCCTTGTCATTACCATCAGTCCGATCCCAGTAGAAGTTGGCTGTCCCATCCTTGTTATCGTAATGATTCGATCTCAGTGGAAGTCAAAGGTCCCGTCCCGATCATAACCAGTGCCACAGTGCCAGTCAGCTTTGTTTGTCTGATCTTATTGGAAGTTGGCCATTCTAATCATCGAGTTTGACCAATCTTTTAAGTTTTTTTTTTAAATTCAAATATAGAATTTAAAAATTAAAATTTTACTTTAAATTCAAATAAAGGATTTTGATATTATAATTTAAAATTTTTTATATCATCCAAACAAAAAATTTAGAATGTATGAATTTTAAATATGAAATTTTAAATTCAAATTTTCAACTTAAATCTACCTATTTGAACACAACATTAAAGTATTGCACTAGGCGCTTTTGGTATTCTTAACTACAAAAAACATAATGTCCCCTAGCTTTTTGAAATAATACAATGTCACTTGAAATTAATGAAATGACATTTTTTTGGATTAAACAATGGAGTGACATTTTTGATCATTAATGAGTTATATTTCATCATGAGGAGATTCTTGTTAGCAAAGCTTAGGTTTCCCTAAGCTCGAGGATTTGATCAAGAGCTTGATAGTGGAGAGTTAGCATTGACCTTTCTAGGTCAATTTCATGAAGTTAGGGATCTTGCTAGCTTCATCATAACAATCAAGAATTCATTTGCTAATATGCTCTTGTTGAACTCAGAGTCCCTCTAGTTTACCTGAGACAAGGATTTCTTGAAATGTAGCAAGCCTTTGAGCATGTGCTTTATTTTGGTGCTCTACCATGGTTATTAGAGGTTATGTGGTTTTGGTTGGTGGTTGTCAAATTTGGCTGATACATGATAATATTTTTAAATTTTGAAAAGAACACTTTAGTCTTTTTATGTTTTAAATAATGGTTGAAAGGAAAAGAATATTTTAAAACTTTTTTACAAGGAGCACACGATATTCTTAACTTCTTGTTGGAGTGCCCTCCTTTCAAAATTAGTGCAATATCAACCTATCATTGATATTAACTATTAAATAGTTGCGATATAACTAACAAATATACATGTGGTGTTGAGTGAAATTAGCTTCTTTCTTTTATTTGGGATAATAAAACATTTAGTCATTTAAGCTTAATTTTTATCGATATGATATCTTACATTTTTTTAAAATTATCATGTTAATCCTTTAAATTTTTAAACACAAATAGATTTTCAAATAATTTTTATTGATTTGTTCTTTTATTTTTAAAAATTTTTGACTTTTTTTCTACTTAAATAATTTCACTTCTTTTTATTAATCTACATTGTTATTATTAATATTTTTTTATTTATATCAATAAAGTAAATTTTAACAGTATTAATTTTTCTTTAAATAATAAAGATCAAATCAACAGTTAAGATAAATTTAAGTAATCAAATCAATAAAAATTAAATTTTAAAAAATTAAATTGATAGCTAAAACTAATTTGAGATCCTAAAAATTTTCATCTCTTCTTGTTTCTCATCCTCCAATCAGTTTAAATACAAAACAAAAAAAAAACTCAGATAAAATAAATAAATTTTGATATTTTAATTATTAATATATATATATATATATATATATATATATTTCAATAAAAGCCCAATCATTTCATGTGGAAGCTTGAATCGAAATGCTTCTGGAAGTTGGTGGAAGAAAATGAAAGCTCACCGTCTCGCTTTTTGTCAAATTCCAGCATTCCATGGCCCTCTTCCTTCCAATGCTTCGTTGACTCGTTGTAGTGTCGTCTTCTTCTCCATCAAAGCTCTGAAGCATCGGAAATGGACGAGACTCGAGTGCAAGTCCCAAGAGTGAAACTAGGTAGTCAAGGCTTAGAGGTAAGTCTCCTTTTCTTTTTTAATCTCAATACAAAATAGTCCAATATTTTTTTTTTTTGTTTTGGTTGAACCGGTTTATCGCTTGGCACATTTGTTGTTATTTGATTCAGTTTAATAATAAGAAGAAAAAGGTTCTGTTTCAGTGGTATTGAGGTCGTCCGAGTCTGACAATCTCGAGCTACTCCAGAAAATTTTTTCCATATTCAAATATTGTGATTATGAGCTTCCCACAAGCAATCTCAGCTCAAAAGGAGGTTTATGTGGAAGAAACAAATACAAACTTCTCAAGCCATAACATTGTTTTGTGTCACAAAATATTAAATTTGACTTTCATCACCTAAATCTTAAAACATATGTTGTCAGAGATTTTCTAATTTTAGTCAAGTTTCTCGTCATATAATCCTCTCAGAACACTGGGAATAATATATTGCATTACACCTATGACAGCTCAAGATAATACATCTATATATAACCACAAAGTTATCTAACCAGTAAATTGATTAACCGACACGCCTGCTTTTGATCACCAAAAAAGTTTCACTAACCAATTAACTTCGCTGTCTGGTAGAATTCAAAAGCTGTATGATCAAATCGCTTTATCTAAATAGAATGAGAATCCCTCTCCGGCCTTCTAACCAAAAAGGGCTCATTCTTTGGTAATATGACTTCTTGTGGAAAGTTAATGAGAAATTAAGTGCTTCCTGTTTGTATCACATATATAATGAAATGCAGGTCTCCAGACTGGGTTTTGGATGTGGGGGACTATCAGGAATTTACAATGCCCCTCTCTCACATCAAGCTGGGTGCTCAATTATTAAGGAAGTTTTCAATAAAGGCATAACCTTTTTGGATACATCTGATCTTTATGGAGATCAACATGATAATGAAATCATGGTTGGCAAGGTATTGCGCATTCTGCTAACTATCAACAATTTAATCTTAAATGCACTTAGTTGATACGAGAGAATACGCCCTTAAGATTGTCCAAAGAAAATATTTAATTCTGTGCTAAGCTTGGGAACACTTGTGACTACAAGAACAACATAGAAAGGAAGATCATAGTGCTTAATATAATTTTAGAAGTGGCAGTGAATTATGCTGGTGCCCCATGAACTTGTTTAAGTATTTGTTTGTAACCATCATGGAAACAGAAAACTAGCTTTGAATATAATTTCATTTATATCCGAGAATGATTTACACTGAGGTCATTGCAACTTTCTCTACATTTGATGCCCTTATTTGTGCTTTTTCATCATGTAACAGGCTTTAAAAGAACTCCCTCGAGAAGAAGTCCAATTGGCTACTAAATTTGGTATTATTATGTCTGATGGGATGCAATTCAGTGTAAAAGGCACCCCTGAATATGCAAGAGAGTGCTGTGAAGCTAGTCTTAAACGACTTGATGTCAGTTATATTGATTTATACTATCAGCATCGAATCGATACTTCTGTACCAATTGAGGACACTGTAAGTTGTTGATGCATTTCTTCTGTTATGTGTAATACATAGCATTTTCACTATTTCTAATCTGTGGATGTTTGTATGGTTCACTGAACTGAACAAGGAAGATAGGGGAGCTTAAAAAGCTGGTAAATGAAGGGAAGATAAGATATATTGGGTTGTCAGAGGCTAATGCTGATACTATAAGAAGAGCACATGCTGTTCATCATATCACTGCTTTGCAAATGGAGTATTCTTTATGGTCCCGTGACATTGAAGAAGAGATAATTCCACTTTGCAGGTTTTTTTAAAATACTACTTTTATCTTGTAGTGTGATTTCTATTCTGACTTTCTTAGATATGGTTTGAATGTAGTGATTATTTGCAAAATATCTAAATGGAAATTGTTGCAGTAAATTGCATTCACCTCCCTTGATGTTTTAAGATATGCACTCATATCACCAATAGTGGTTGGATTGGGTGGTAAGGGACTCAATACTTATTGATCATGGTTAAGAGTTCAGTTCTTGTGAATGGAAAAAATTACATTGGAAGAGCTTCTTCTATTTAGACCTCACAAAACTTGAATTTAATTTGGTATTAACAGATAACAAATTTGACTCTCACTTAATGGGACCTCCCTTCTATTAAGATAATCATTAGTTGAGCTAATACTATATGCACTTTGACTCCTTGAATGCTCCTTCCAATAGCCTTCTTCAGCGTGGCATAAATGGCTAAACTTATAGACTAATCTGTTGACTGTTATGGTTATTTAGTTTTAATTCCTTAAAAAATAATGACTGCATGATTCAGTCATTTAAGATAACAAATCCATTACGCTTCAAGCCTCTTGTTCTTTTTGGTTTTCTTAGGCTAAAACTAAGTAGACCTAACAATTGAGAAATCAATCTATAAGACTAATCCAAGCACAAATCATCAAGAGGCCAAGTTAATACTTATGAAAACTTAAAATTAGAGCGGCTACTGAAATATTTTATCATCTAGTCAAATGTTTAGTTATCTTAACTCAATTTTTTTTTTTTTTAACTTGCAGAGAACTAGGAATTGGAATAGTAGCATATAGTCCTCTTGGTCGAGGCTTTTTTGCAGGGAAGGCAGTAGAGGAAAGTTTACCAAGCCAAAGTTTATTGGTACAGTCCCAGTTTTAAGTTTGCATGAATTTGCAATAGGATGATACTTCAAGTGAGAAATGCCTATAAGGATAACTACAATTATATACTTGTATTCCTGCGGAGGATTGGCTTTTGAAATTTGGTACACCTTTTTTTTTTTTGGCTGTAATAGGCAATTCATCCGAGGTTCATTGGAGAAAATTTGGAAAAGAACAAGCTCTTTTATAAACGACTCTCTGATTTGGCTTCCAAGCATGCATGCACTCCTGCTCAATTAGCTCTCGCATGGCTTCTGCATCAGGGGAATGATATAGTTCCTATCCCAGGTAGAGTCACCTACGCACTTAACAAAATACCTTTCTTCTAATGAAAGAAAAAAGGTTAATCGTTTGGTTAAAGTTAGAAATATTAACCAAACTAACCATGAATCTCACTTGATTATGAAGTAATCTGTGCCTGAATTTCTAGGATTAAGTGGTCAATCTGAGCTTCCACTTAAGAGTCAAATAGTATTTGAATTTTATACAATATCAGAGTCTCCAACCAAGCAGTCAATTTAATCCTTCTCGCCTCCATGCCATGTGTATCCATATTAGTTGAACCAATAATACTCTTCAAATAAAAGTGTAAGCATTTGTCCCGTTGGGAGAGATGTCCGCATTTAGCACTTGACCATGCCTCAAACTTGATTGCTTCTAGTAGGAGAATTCATGTGAGCAATTAAAAAAAAAAAAAGTGTAAGCATTTGGGGACAAGGGTCTTTGAAGGTGTTATTTGGTTTTGGCATATTCATAGATATTTTTACCTATTTCTGTATAACTCTTTCATCAATTCATCCTCTTATAGTCTTATCTATCCGCTGCCTAATGGGCATTTCTGGACGAATAGTACCTTTAATCTTTGTTAATTATGATAATTTTTTTTTTTTTGGGGTAAATCCAAGATGTATCATTTCTGTTAATTGAGTTCTTCGTGATGAAATATTGCTTTGATACGATAGGGACAACGAAAGTCAAGAACCTTGAGAACAACATTGGATCTCTGACAGTTAAGCTTACAGATGAAGATGTGAGGGTAATTTCTGATGTAATTCCTGCTCATGAATTTGCTGGGGAACGAGAATATGACATGTTCTCAAAATATATGTGGAAGTTTGCAACTACCCCTCCAAAGCAATTGCAAGAGAAATGAAACAAACTTTCTTTTCCTTGTACACACCTAAGAAAATGAATTGTGGGTTTTGTTTGTTAAGATTTGGTTAAGAGTATTACTTCTACAGAATCAAACTTTACATGTCTGTTGTTTAAATGAACCAGAAATTGCAGTTGTGCATGTGTGTCAGACAACCTGGTTATAATAACTCATGCCTGAATGAGATATATTTCGTGTATAATAACTCCATTTGTTTTTTATAAATAGGTCTAGATTTCCAATCCTTACATACATATATAATGTAAAAATTTTAACAAATTACAATATTCATAAGTTATAAATAATGTGATTCATTTCTTAGGTTTCATGCAATGCATGAGATCAAAAATTTTTTACAGTGATAAATAGTCTACGAATTGGGAATATTATAGCTCATTTATCAGATTTGAAGAATAATGCATGAATAAATTGCATGGATATTACAAAATCTCATTCTAATGTGCTGTGAAAAAAAATAGTTGTAAAATTAATAAATCACTGACCATTTCAAGATCATTTGAATAGTGAAACGTCACAAATTTAAGAGGATAAATTTGCACCAACTGGGTCACTTAATTTTTATCACATTTTTTTAAATGGATAGATGTATGAATATATGAATAGAAAGCGTTTGATTTGGTGAAATTTACACGTTAACTTTATATCTATCACTGTATTATTATTTATAATTTTTTAAAAGTGCTCATAATTTTTAAATCTCAATAAGAATAATAAATAAATCTCAATGAAATAGGCAATTGACAAAAGATTACTATGGAATGGGTTACTTTAAAGTTCTTAAGTACTTATCTAACATAATTTTTTGTAAAATTATATTTTTGACATTCTACAAAATAATATAAAGCATTGTTATTAAACTTAAACTAAAGTTGCTAATAAAAAAAAAGTAAAGATATTAATGTAAGAAGTATAATTATTACAAAACAAAACTAAAATCATGGATAGTTATGTTGTTAGTATCTAAACTGAGGTTGTTAAGATGGAAACCTATTTGTTACTTATTATATAACTAAACTAATAACTATAATTTTTATATTAACAAATTTATCTTTTTATCAACAATGTTAGTTTAGGTTCTATATTTTCTATCATTTCAATAAAAGTTAGAAATGTAATTTTATAAAAGATTATGCCAAATAATTTTTAAAAATTTCAAAATAATTATTCTATTTTATGGTACTCTTATTATTTGCCTAGGGAATTTATTTATCTTTTTTCAATAAATATAATAAAAAAACGTTTATTAAAAGTGAGACGCAAAGTAATCATCATTTTCCCTGGTGGTATAGATTCCATCCAAAAAAAAAAAACCCTTGTAGATTCCATTGCAGCTCCACACACAAACACACAAAGGCGCGCACTTACAAAAATATATTCCTATATGGGTGTCGACCTTTCGTTATGCTTTTGGTAGTTGGTGGAAGAAAATGACGGCCCTGATCGGCGCGCTCTCTCTTCTTTTTCAATGATTGGTTTAACATCTTCGCCAAGGCTCTGTACAATCGCTGAATCGCATATGGACAGCACTGAATCGCGAGTGCCCAGAGTCAAACTTGGTCGTCAAGGCTTGGAGGTAACCTTCATTCCTGCTTCAATACTGTATTGTCGAAACAGAGTTCCGAGCTTTAAACAGTCAATCCTATTTCGAGATTTTGAGTGTTTTTCACTGTTTTTTTAGAATTGATTGTTATTTGCTATGATTCAACACGAAGTGGATCATAAATTTTACTTTCTCCAGAATCATCCATAGCTCAGAGCTTTGCGTGAGAATGCTTGAAGTCGATTGTTTCGAAAATTAGGGGTTTTCTCGAGCAAACTACAGGCCTTGATATTATATGTAATCAGTTTTAATGTGCGTGCGTGCGTGCGTGTGTGTGTGTAGATTGGTGGACAGTGTCACTTTCATTGTTGAATGGCTCAGTTCTAATGCTTTTTTTTTTTTAACCAGAAAAAGGATAATCATTAATCGAATAAACAAAGTGAAGCCATGAGCCAGTGGCAAAGGCATACAAAGTAAAAGAGAGAAACTACTAAACTAGCCTATTCCTTCACGGTCCCGGTCCATTGTGGCATCAGATTGCAGGGATCTGTTGAGAGATATTGAGTCCTTAGAGATAATGGCGAGAAGAGAGGGTGATGGGTCAAAAACCCAACCAGATGGTTCCACCCCCTTAGATGCAGTGGCTGCAAGAAAATATGCGGCGGCGTTCCCTGATCGTTTGACCAGAGAGAGATGAAGCGATGAGAAGGACTCCAAGGATTCCAATAGCTCAGCCAGTAGATTATGCCAAGTCCAATTGCAGCGATCCCCTCGATTGGATGATAAAGCTTTGTGTAGTTATTGACAGTCCAGCTCAAGTATAAATGGTTGATGGATAGATTCTGTCATGAGTAATAAGGCTTTCTTGCAAGCAAGAACTTCAGCCATGAAGCCTGATGAAGCTTGAACAGATTCACACCAACCTTAGATAAATGAGCTATCTGATGACCTCCATATTATTCCTGTACCAGAATTTCCTGAAGAAGCCAGAAAAGATCCATCACAATTGACTTTGATCAAACCTAATGGAGGAGGAGACCATGTGCTTGGAGTAAAAACAGGGCTTGTATAGTGAGGCTTATCAATAAAGTTGGCTGACCAGTAATCCCATGTAGCAGCATCCGTATGAGAGACCACCTGAAAAGGATCAATGACTGCACCAGCGAAGATTGAGGCAGATCTCATCTTCCAGATGTTCTAACATAGGTTAGCAATGTATGTCTTACCATAATCATCTGTGTAGTTTTCGCTCATGAGTAGGGCATAACACGAACGATCAAAGGAGGTGATGTCAGCAACATTAATGGCGATAGTGAGATAACTCCCATACCATGCCTGTCTAGCCCAATCACACAACAGGAGGAGATGTTCAATGAACTCAGGGTAATTATGGCAGATTGGGCATAAAGGATCTACAGCACATTTTTGATTATACAATGCCTCTTTAGTGGCAAGCGCATCATTGATTACTTGCTACATAAAATGCTTGACCTTCAGTTGTTGTTTTAGATGCCATAGGCCCTGCTAGATATCATGGGGTAGAGACGCGGAGGAGCTTGTAGATGCACTAACAAGTTGTGGGGATTGAGCCACAATAATCTGTAACCAAGCTTGGCTGAATAAGTACCATTGTTAGCAGCAGCCCACGCACCAGTATCAATAATCGAGTTCATTGGAATTGGAATTTTCAAAATGTGAGTGATAGTTTCAGAGGTATAGGAGGTTGAAATGGGTGTTAAATCCATTGACCTCGTGAAATCAGATTAAAAACCTTTAGGGTTTTATAAATTACAGCACCTACAACAGGGATAGCTTTGCAGTTTGGTGAGGCAGGAATCCATGGGTCCTCCCACGAGCTAATGTCATTACCATTTTCAACTTTCCAGCAAAAATCTTTCAACAACATGTCTCTACCCGGAAGCAAGCTACTCCAAGCCCAAGAGGCTTTTGGACCATGTTCAGCAGCGAGAAAAGACCTGTTAGGGAAATAGATGCTTTTTAATACCTTTACCCAGAGCTGATCAGGGTTGGTAAGAAGTCGCCATGCAGATTTGGCTAGAAGGGCATCATTAAATTTCATGAAATCTCGAAAACCCACCCTCCATCTTTTTTTGCCTTACAGAGCTTATTCCAAGCCTTCCAATGGATACTGTTTCGATTCATGAAGTACTAATGCTTGAGTTTTAATATCTCAGTCTTTGATTATATTAGCCCTTATGAAAAACGGACAATAAATGAAGCGCTGCCTGTTTATGCCATATTTATCTAATGCAGGTTTCTGCAGTGGGTTTTGGATGCGGAGGATTATCTGGAGTTTATAATGCCCCTCTTTCACATGAAGCAGGATGCTCAGTTATTAGGGAAGCATTCAGTAAGGGTGTAACCTTCTTTGATACATCTGATGCTTATGGAGATGAACATGATAACGAAATCATGGTTGGCAAGGTATTCATATTACTTCCTACTCATGTTTTTTTTTTCATTTTTAACTATGGTCCCTAAATTAGATTATTATTATTGTGTGGTCAATGAATTTAAACTGGGACTACATAAATGAAGCCAGCTGTTAAAATAGTTTATTCAATTATAAAATAGTATCAAATTCAGATATTCATAAAATTACGTGTATGATTATATTAAATTATTAACATCGTTTTAAGTTTGACAAAAATCCATTAACTCATTAATCCCATATGGTTCATTCATGTCTAATCTTAAGCAAACTTTTCACGAGCCTGGCCCTAGATTTCATTCAACTAAACAAGGTGAGGTCAAACAACTTGTTTCTTAAATGAGCCAGGCTTAAGAATGCCAGGGCTCAGCTATTTATACCCTTAACTCTACTGACATTACTAGTGCCCAATGTATTTGATTATAACTGATTCGTAGAGGCAATCATTTAATGGGAAAATATAAGATTTGTTGAATGTGTATTGAGAGTGTAATATACTCGGGTCAATGCAGTACGTTTTATGTACTTACTGAAACATTTTCATCATATTCCAGGGTTTAAAAGAACTGCCTCGGGAAAGAGTTCAACTGGCTGCTAAATTTGGTATAGTTGTGTCTGAAGGGATGCAATTCAGCATCAAAGGCACGCCTGAATATGTAAGGGAGTGCTGTGAGCTAGTCTTAAGCGACTTGATGTCATTATATTGATTTATACTATCAGCATGGAATTGACACTTCTGTGCCAATTGAGGACAGAGTTTTTAGGTCATTCTGTTTGCAATGCATACCTTTCCTCTACTTCTAAACTGTGAATGCTTGTGCTGTTTATACTGACCACATTGGGGAAGATAGGGGAACTTAAAAAAAAGGCCAATGAAGGAAAGGTAAGATACATTGGGTTGTCAGAGGCTAATGCTGATACTATAAGGAGAGCACAGGCTGTTCATCCTATCACTGCTCTACAAATGGAGTATTCCTTTTGGACCCGTGAAATTGAAAGAAGAGATTATTCCACTTTGCCAGGTTTGTCGCATACTGATTTTGATCTTGCAGTTTGATTTGTTTTTCTATTTGTTTATATGTGGTGTCGAGTCAGATTATCTGCAAAAACATTTCAAATGAAATTGTTAGGCATTCACCCCTGAAATTTTTGGAATTACACTTACATCTCTGATTTTATTTTTACACAT